GGCCCGGCCTGAGCAGGAGGGGCAGCTCCGGGGCCGTGTTTGGGCGTGAGGAGCTCGAGGGAGGGCGCGGGGGGCGGCGGAGGTGCAGGGGGACAGGGATGCAGCGAGTATGCGGTGGAAATGCTGGGGGTAGGGAAAAGAGCGAAGCAGAAAGTAGCTCTTTGCTGTGGTATGTTCAAGTAAGAACTTTCTGTACCACACAAATGGTAAAGATATATGTATATAAACAATACCTGATGGCTTTCCTGTGTTGGTTTAGGAGTTGGGTTTGCAACCCGGCAGGTGGGGAATGTGACCAAACCCACTGTGATCATCAGCACCGAGGGGGACAAAGTCATGATCAGGACTCAGAGCACTTTCAAAAACACAGAAATCGGCTTTAAGCTTGGCGAGGAGTTTGATGAAACTACCCCGGATGACAGAAACTGCAAAGTAAGTGAGCTTCCAGGCTGCCCTTGTGTCTTCTCCTTTCCTTTTCCTTTCATCCCCTGCTCTGTCTCTGAAGGTCTTATCTCAGCATGGCAGGGTCAGATGAAGAGAATATAACTTCTGTCATGCTCTGAAGGACAAGGGAAAACTTAAAGACAAGACTGCATCTTAACTGCCTCCGTGCATAGCACCTTGTCTGCAGCAGAGTGTTATGTCCACAGCTCCCTTTCTGCCTTCCAGGGCAGAGGAATTCTCCTGGCTCTTCATTTATATTTGTACCAAGTAACTTAAATCTAAAGCTCGTTGGGCATAACTTTCTTCCCCCTGCTGAAATGAAGGAAGTGAAGGAATGCCTTCTCCCTGCACCTCGGGGAGAGTGCTATCCCAAAGCACATCTGAGAGGATGGTGCACGTGGTGCTGGAACTTGCAGAAAATAGCTCATTTCATCCTTGGATGCAGACAAGAACTGTATGGAGCTCTTGTTGAAAACAAGGACGATTCATGGCTTTGGTTTTAAAATGCTTAGGACTACTTTATGATTCCAGCTCCACATGCCTCTATTGAGGAGAATTCAGTAGAATACTGCATGCTTCATATGTGAGTAGAATCTCGAATGCTCCAAATAAATGAGTGTCTTTGTGTGTGTGTTTTTTTTTTTTTTTTTGATATCTCACAGTCAGTAGTCACCCTGGATGGAGACAAGCTAGTGCATGTACAGAAATGGGATGGCAAAGAGACAAACTTTGTTAGAGAAATAAAGGATGGCAAAATGGTTATGGTGAGTATAAAAATCACTGAGCACTTACGTACACTGCTAACATTCCTCATTTGCATTTATGTCCAGCTTTTTGGACAGATAGTGTTACTTGAACAAAACTTGAAAGTGACTGTTGAGGAAAGCTGGCAGAGGCTTTTCAAATGTTTATTTGCTTTACTTTGCATTTTGTTTTGACAACTGGAAAAAAATACTGATGGTTTTAGCTAGGCCAGGTTTTTGATTTCCAAGGGGTTAACCACCCTTTCTAGGATTTATGTAAACGCTCAAGCAAAACAACATACAGTTCTGGTGAACTGGAAAATATACGAGATTCTTGCTTATATAGGCAATAATCCATTTTGGATCAGTGCTAATTTAGATTTAAGACTTGCTTTATATATGCATATGTAAATAGTATTTAATTACCTAGAGTAAGTATTTCTTCAGGATAACATAACTTAAATATGATATGAGGTAATAGCATTCTCACATTTAATAATAAAGGGATTATTCTTTCCAGCTTATTTAAAAATTATGACTAAAATAGCAATTTTGTGTTAAGAATAACCCTTCTTACTTTAAATTCACATCCTCCTCCTGACTTTTCAGGAACAGGAGTATGGTGTAGAAGCAATGGCGTAGAAGTTGCTAAATGTAGTGTCCAGACTTTCTTATACTTATTTTTGACATAGAGATGTGATTTCCAAAAATAAAATCTCTTCAGCCATATTAGTCTCTGTGATTTGACTGCTGGAAAAAAAGTTTTATTTTCAAAATGTTTTGGTGAGGGTCTCTATTTTTTTTACAACCCTCTTTGTTTTTAATTATTTGAGCTTCCAAATAATTAAAACCTTAAAGCATACTGTCAGTGCAACACAATATAGCAGGTCATTTAAGGAAAAAATGTGTTTTGTTTTGGAAAATGTCTATATAAACACACTGAAAACCATTCCCTGTGGAAGTCCAATAGTGAGATGCAATATTTCACCTCAAAAAATAGCTCTGAAGTTCACACACTGTAGGTGCTGCTTTTAAACATCTGTAGTAACTAAAATGCTCGATAGTCAAATGCATTTATTCTAATGTGATATTCTCCTTAATGTCTAAGCATTGTTGTACAGAATATGAACACAGAGGCTTTGAATCTTGGATTGCACAATTTGCAATGTGATCGGCTTTGAGAAAAAGAAAGTTACAGCTGTGTTACAGCTGTATTACATCAATGCTAAGTTTTAGAAGTTACATTCACAAAGGTAGAAAAATTAAATGGTCACTTAGTTGACTTCTAGAATGTATATTGTGTAGTTTTAAAGTAACAAGGAGAAAGTGCTGTTATGGGATCCAAACTTTGAGTTTTTGCCTCGTGTTCATTTAAAATATCAATAATACAAACCAACTTGTTTTTGTGTAAATTACATAATGTCTTGTCCTACTACGGACTTCTTAGCATTATATACATATGGAAAATGGTTCAGCGTCTAACGTATCTGTTTTCCTTGGACTTGCAGACTCTCACTTTTGGTGATGTGGTTGCTGTTCGCCACTATGAGAAAGCGTAGAGCTTACCTGACCTCTATCCGTATGGTACTTCTGCTGGATGGATTAATGTACTGTCCGTAACTGAACGTAGCTAAAATGCACACTTCTGGCATGGAAGGTTAATGGGGCAATGGGCTGAGGGGTGGGTGTTTTTTAGAAAATACTTTTTTATGCCATCAAATAGGCAAGCATGTTTTGTGAAGTGCAACAGGTTAAACTTTGCATTAAATGTCTGAAACAATTGCCTCTTTTTTTTTTCTGTTTTAATAAATGGATCATATTTGATTTGTTTTGACATGGAGATCAAAAGAATTAAAATGTTTTCTAAATCTGTGATCATTTTGCATTTAATGGACTGTATTTTAGTGCTTTGGAGATGTTTTCTGCTCTTTTTCTCAGAAAAAAAATTAGGACATGTTAATGCTCTGGTGTATCCACATTTGATAGAGTACACAGGAAATTAATACTTGCCTTTGTTCTATTTAAGTAGTTGCTTTTTGCTAGAGAAATCTACAGCCCTTATTTTTTAATATCTGTAAACAGATAGATGAGAGGACACATAAGCACTGCTTTCCCCATTCAACAACTCGCTTCTCCTCACTTGGGACTTTATCCAGGGTCTGTTGAACTCCCTTCAGTTTCAGTGGTGTTCTTATATTTTTGTTTTTGAGTTATGAGAGTTTGGGTGTGTGTGTTTTTGTTTGTTTTTTATTTGGTAATATGCAAAAGATTGAAATAAATTGTGGAGGTGGAAGTGATTCACAAGATGGGAGGAAAGTACAAATACAATAGGAGAGAACCAGGGCAACCTCAAGTACAGAGCTTGTCTTCCATTGATCACTAGAGATGTGAGAGGAATACACAGGAAAAATAGTACAAGACAAACTCTCTGAGCTTCATCTCCTCTAGCTGTATGTTTCAGAGCCTAATCTGTACTGGAGGTCAAAATTTGCACAGTGAGCTATATAAAATTGTGCTTAAGAGAGATCAAAAAGAGGGAAGGGGGAGGAAAAAAAAACCTATTCATGAGAAACCTTAAAATAGAAGTGGAAGGAAAAAATGCCCTATGCTTCAGTTTGGTTCTTAAAGCAAGACAAAATTAAAACAGGTTGCTGGCATTCTGGAAGGAAATGTTTAGAAGGTCTCATGTTCCTTGCTGGGACACTGACCCAGTGGACCATACCACTCCACTAAGACCTTTTAAGCAAAGATGCAGAGTTTAGCTGGTTGATACTCTGGCAGTGTGACTCCAGAGGGAGGCAGGGAAGGGGATTCTGCTGACTTTGCGAGGTGTAATACTTCACTGTCCTAATTAAGGAAACTGTTTTCTCAAAGATCTATAGCATTTCCCAAAAGAGAAAAGGGATGGGGATGTTTCTTTCAGGCAGCCTCTGTGTGAAAAAAGTAAACCTAATATGAATTATCTCATACTCGTGTTGCTTAGCTGGGTCTCAACTTTCATCAGGTGAGCAAGATAAGCCATCCATATTATCCTACCCCTTAGAGGAGAAAACTATTCAAGAAAGCCGGAGTAACTTCCCATTTTACCTAGTTTTCCATCAGAGAAGTGAAAAGTAGAACTTTGCTTCAGTGGTGCATGGGACTGGATTCTGCGCATTCAGCCTCTGTTGTAGCAGTATGTTTGAACAGTCTCTTCTCTCCTTAGCTTTCATAAGCTCATTTAAGTACTAATTTCAGTGCCTAATACAGGCTGCATCTGTCTCCCCTCTATTATAGCTTATTCCCCTCTATTAATCATATAACTATTTCCCAACCACTGCTTCCCACAAATCTGGGAACAGACACTTTCCTTAATTGCCAGGAAAAGCACACTTGGGTCTCCATTATGGCGTTAATTTTCATGAAAAGTGATTAACAGGGCCATGAAGGAGAAAAATAAGGTTTTTATTAAACATAGAGAAAGCAGTGATAGATTGACAGGATGTGGCTGGAACATCATATAATGAAGGGTAAATATTTTACATTACAATGGCTTTTAAGCCATTCCTTTTCCAATATGCATTGGAAACGCATAAAACCACCAGAAAAGCGGAGACTTTTACCATCCCAAAGACAGACACTATTAATGTCAAAACCGAAGGAGGGATAAGAAAAGCAGCCCTTTGGGGAGATCCCAGACACCTAAATAATAATAACAAAATTTAAAAAGCGCCCACCCGCCCGGGCGGCCCCCTGCGGCGCCGCAACGGCTCTAACGGCCGCTCCGCTC